TCAAGCTTGCTATACACTATTCCAAGATCTCCTAGCTTTGAGGGTCTGGGCTGAGAAATCAACTGAGATCCATACTGGTTTCCCCCTAAATATCATCAGCTGTTTTTCTATCCTTATTCTGTGTTGGATATTTTCATAATAATGTGCCTTGGTATAGTTCCATTGTAATTTTGTATATTTGAGGTCATGTAAGCCTCCTGTATTTGATTTTCCATTTCATTCTTTAGGTTCGTGAAATTTTCTGGTATTTCATTGAAAAGATTGTACATTCCTTTTCTTTGTATCTTCAAGCCTTTATCTATCCTGATAAATCTTAAATTGCCCTTATCAGGTCATCCCATGTTTCTTGGAAGTTCTGTTCATGGTCTCTTAACATCTTTTCTCTATGGTCAACTTTGCTTTTGAGATTATATATTTTGTCTTCATTGCCTGAAGTACTGTCTTCCAAGTAATCTAGTCTGTTGGTGATGCTTTCCATTTGAATTCTTAATTTGGTTTGTTGATTTATTTATTTCAAGGACTTCTGTTTTTCCCTCAGATCTCTCTTTATTGAAGTAATCTTTCACTTTCTCTATTTTCTTTCTGATTTCACTCCCTATATTGTTCTGTTCTTTGTAGATCTCGTTTGACTATGCACATTCTAAATTCCTTCTCTGACATTTCTTCCACCATGGTGTCATCAGATTCTGTTATTTAAGTATCTTGTTTTGTTTGGGGTGATTTGTTCCCTTGCTTTTTCATATTATTTGTGTGTTTACCTATCTAGAAGTATGTATCTGAGGTAGTAGAGTTTTTACTCTGTTGACTTGGTAGTGTTCCCTGAAGGTTTCCAGTACCTCACTGTTTAGGGGGAGACAATTAATAACAACAATCAATGCAAACAATGTACAGCTTAAATCAAATAGTTTCTACATACATCTAAAATGCTAATTGTCACAAAAAACAGAAATGATAAGATCAGTTATTGCCCACAGTAAAAACAGTTAAGTTTGCAAAAGATTTTATAATTTTGAATGGTCAACTGGAAGAGAACAGAAGTGATGCAGGATGGAGGAAAGAAAATAAAAGTAAAAAACTAAAGAAGGATTGAAAGAGAATTAGAGATTGGCTATTAGGAGAAGAAAAGAGAGAAAGAGAATCAAGGGAAACAGATATGTGAGAAAAAATATATCTCTATAAAGTAAACATTAAAAAAATAAAGACTACAAAACAAAATTAAAATATACTATTCAAATATACTAGTCTGCAAAATATTGAATAATGAAAAATAATTGGCTTCAAAAATTCTAGAAATGAGAAATAAAACCAATATGAATATGTATAAATGTCTAAGGTCACAATTACAGAAAAGAAAAAAAAATCTCCATGAAAAGTTAAAGAATTGTGTCTCGATTCTCAGTTTTCCCTCTCAGCAGTGTTGGTTGGGAGTCAATGGGGTGAGAGAGGTAATTCTGTAGTTGGAATTCCTAGAGGCAGCATTTAGACTTAGGTGGTCTCCTGGCTCTTTGCTGGATGCGAATTGGTCTAGATAACTTTAAATCAGTGCACCACCAAGGCCCAGCCACTGCCAGTGGGCACTGAAAGTCTGCACCCCAGGTGTCTCCCCTGGCTTTCAATCTTATGTTTGAGAAGCCAATTCTTAGTCAATTATGTCTCTTGCTGCCCCGCTGCTACCCAGTTTGGGGTTCAGTCTCCTAACTTAATCTCTCCCACCCTCGTCCTTTCAAATTCCCAGCCAGGTGTGTCTTTTCCAGCCAGTCCTGCAAACAGCTGGGTTGGAGGGCGAGGGGTAGTGCTTGGTGGGTTTCCATGACGAGTAGTCTCCTGTATAATCCTCTGTCTATGATTGAAATTGTTCTGGTCACTTAGGTATACTCTTTGTCTTGCAGTGTGTGTTTATTGGGCCTGTATTTTGGGACAGACTTGGGTTTACCAGGAATTGGCTCCCTCAGCTGCCAGCCCCATGCCATAGCTAAAGAATGGTTTCTTCCTCTGTCCTCCTCAGGCAGCCTGGAAATATGGGAGCTTGTTTCCTGTACAAAGATATTGTGCAGCATGCTGTTCAGTTTAGTTGGGCAGTGTCTTTGATCTCTAAGTTCTCTGTACGCAGACACACCTTAGCCTCTTAAAAATGAGGGTTTCTTTTAGTCCCTTGTCCCTCCCTCCACTTTGCTTGTGGAGGGACTCATCTGGCTGGGTACTCCAGCTAGAAGCAGTGCTATGACACTGGGTATTTTTTCTTACAATATCCAACCTCCTGAGTCCCTGATGTGCTTTGAATGTTCAGTATTAAATTCTAATAAAGTCTCTCCTCCCTTTATTGGTTACCTACTTTGCTGAGAAACTGTCTATCTGCTTTTTTGGTTTAATGTCACAGAGCAGCCAGAAAAACGACCTTCTCTATTCCGTCATCTTAAAACTCTAGGCTGTGTACTTTTTTAAAGGTATTTTTTCATTTACTCCAAATTGCCAAATGTATTGGTGCATATTTTTAGATAATATTATCATATCTTTTAAATTTGTAATGTATTTGTAATGAGGCTTCCTTTTGTTCTTAGGTTGATCTTTCTAAGTTTTTCTTGATCAGTCTTCATAAGGGTTTATCAGTTTTAATAATCTTTAGAATACCAAATATTAATTTTGATTTTTTCATTATATTTTAAAATGGACTTTTGTCCATTATTATTCATTTCTATTATTTTCCTTGGATTTATTTATTTATTTTGGTTCCTGAGATGGAAAAGCAAAATAGTGATAGTCTTTTCCTTTTCCTAATTTATATCTATAAATTTTCCACCAAGTCCTTATTTAGCTTCATGTCTTATGTTTTGATTTCTTCTTTGATTTATAAATCATTTAACATTTTGTTGTTTAATTTCCCAGTAGTTGGATATTTTTGTTGTTGTTGTTGTTTTGTCTTTATATCCAACTTATCTCCATTGTGGTCAGGGAACTTATTCTAAAGCATTTTAATTTGGAGGGATTCTTTTGATGCCTTCTTTTTGATTTGTCATTTGGTTACCTTTAATAAATATTCCAGGTATGCTTAAAAATTGTGAAAATTTGACTCCTATTTGATTTAACTTTTATTTCAGGCCAGTTAAATCAAGTTTTATGTGGTATTCAGATCTTCCATATACTTGCTGTTTTTATTTTTTTTCTGTTTGTTTTATCGTGTCTTGAGGTAAATGCCTTAAAGTCTGTATTATTTTTAATATGTCTATTTTTCTTTTAGTTCTGAAAGCTTAAAAAGCTTTACTTTAAATATTTTGGAACTCTATTGTATATTTTGCATATACATGCTTTGAAATGTAATATCTTTTTATTCAATTATGTTTTTTATCATTAAGATATTCCCTTCTTTATATCTAGAAGCATCTGTTTTAGTGTCTGTTACTGGAATGTTACACTAAGTTTCAAGCTAGTGCTTACATGGTATATACTTTTCCATTCTTTTATTTTCAAGTTATGTTCATCTTTTATAAAAAGAAACTTTATTGTGTTTATCTAAGGTATAAACATTATGTAAGATACATATAGGTAGTAAAATGGCTATGATATGAAGCATGTTAACATATCCATCCTCTTTAGTTATCCTTTTTTTGTGTGTTGTGAGAGCAACTAAAATTTACTCAACAAAAATGCTGAATACTATATAATTTTATTTACTCTAGTTCTCATATTGGTGTATTTAGATGTAATTATTGCACATATGTGCTACTTTGCATCCTTTGAGTTACATCTTCCCATTTCCTCCCACCACTTCTTCCTTTGGTACCCACTGTTTTATTTTCTATCTCTGTGTATATGGAATTTTTCTTTATTTTTTTTAGCTGTCACGTGTTAAGAGAGATTGTGCAATAATTTTTTTTTCCTCTTTGTTTGGCTTATTTCACTGAAGATAATACTCTCCAGGCTCATCCATATTGTGGCAAATTGCAGGATCACCTTTTTTTTTTGTGGATGAATAATATTCCATTGTATATTTCTGTATCATATTTTCTTTATCCATTTTTCCAATGATGGGCACTTTGGTGTTTCTGTATCATGGCTATGTGAATAATGCTGCAGTGAACACAGCAGTGCAGATACCTTTGTGAGGTGGTAGTTTCATTTCATTTGGGTATCTATTCAGAAGAGGGAACCTTGTCATATAATAGTTATATTTTCCAGAATACCAATCTACAGTCCTACCAAATGTTTTCTTTTTTCCATAACCTTAGCAACATTTGTTATCTCTTGTCTTTCTGATAACACACATATCACGAGTGTATGATATTTTACAGTTTCAATTTGCATTTCCCTAATGAGTAGTGATGTTGAGTATTGAATATCTTTTCATTTATCTGCTGAACATTCTTATTTCTTTGTACAAATGTCTATTCGGGTTCTTTGCCCATTTTTAATTGGATTATTCATTTTTTCTGCTATTGAATTATAAGAATTTTTATAAGTTTTGATATCTTGATTTTTCTGATAAATTGTTTGCAAATATTTTTCAATCTGTAGGTTGCCTTTTTATTTAGTTGATAGTAGATATATTTGCATTTACTTATATCTTGATATTTTCCTAGATTTTATCATTCCATTTTCATGTATTACAAAATAAATACTAGTATAATAAACTTTTTAATAAATGAATTAGAAATAGAGAATAACATATAATTGAGTTTTTATTTTTGTAATCTATAATCCACTATTTCAGAAAAATTTGAAATACAAAAGATGTAGTTAATATTGAAACCATACTAAATATAAGCAGATATTCCTTTAATACTTCAGCGTTCCAGGATCATCAGAATGAATTATTCACTCTTGCTTATTAACAGGTCTTTCATTCTAATAGTTCCTTGGATAGCCTAAGCTTTGCTGTCCTTTAGACTATGTTTAAAAGCCTATAATAACATTGTAAGTATTTGAAAATTATATTTTTAAGTATCATATGGTGATATACAAAATATTCAGGGCAGTTAACTGCATTTGTGTTTTTTTTTAAACAGGACCACGTTATGTGGTACAAATAGGTGACAAGATTATTGACTACAATGAAGAATTCCGCCTTTTTCTATCAACGAGAAACCCAAATCCCTTTATTCCACCAGATGCAGCTTCTATTGTTACTGAGGTTAATTTTACTACAACAAGAAGTGGATTAAGAGGGCAGGTATGTAAAGACAATAGTCATAATATATTTACGTTAGAGTTTTTTGTATCTGTATATTTATTAGACATTGTGAATAGAAAGATATTGTATTAATCTGATTAGTATTAAAACTTATGATTTTGAAAACAGTTTTGCAAGTAAAGTTGTCAGGCTTATTTATCATCTCTGTTGTATATTGTATATTTGAAGCTGATGCAACATAACTCTAATTTTATAGTCTTATTTCTGTCAGATATGATAGATTTTGAGAGATGAATGGTTTGTAGAGATTAAGAAAACTTGCTTAATTTTTTTAAATTGGAAAATTGAAATACATGAAAGATGCAGTTAATTGACACATTCAGGTAATTGAGGGTTGTAGATTCCTGAGCCAATATTTTTAAAATCACAATCTTTGCGTTTTTAAAATTTAGTTTATCTGTATATGTGTCATTAAATTTTATGGTTTTTGTGTGAATTTCAAAATGATTTTTTATGCCCAGGCTTTTATTTATATATTTACTCATTTTTTTTTTTTTTGCTCTTGAAAGATAAGATGTTGATTTCTTGAGTATTTTTCTTTTATTCATCTAACAATAGTGATTTTTTTCTCTTGTTTGATTCATGTGAATGTGTATTTGCTATAAATTTTTCTTTATTGCAGTTTTTAAAACTTTTTTCAAAATATTATTTTCTTACTATACCATAGGACTCACTGAATACATTTATATGAATGTATCTTTTGAATGAGTTGATAATAATTCTGACAGATAAAACATTATAACAATCACTCTAAACTTGGCAGAATTAATTGACACAATTACTCCCTTCCATCTAAAAGCTCTCAAGGTAATTGCTAAAAGGTGCTATGTAGATTTAAGAACTAAGGAAAGGTGTCATTGGCTGTATTAATATTCAAAATTAGCAATTTAGGCTTCTTTTTTTTTTTTTGGTACTGGGACTTGAACCCCATGGGTACTTAACCCCTGAGCCATATATCTACCTCTTTTTAAAAATTTTTATTTTGAGACAGGGTCTGGCTAAATTGCTAAGGGCCTCACTAAATTGCTAAGGCTGGTTGTGAATTTACCATCCTCCTGTCTTAGCCTCCTGAGGTGCTGGGATTATAGGAATGTATCATCACGCCCACATATTTTTTACCAGCTTAACAGATAACAGTTTTAGCAAATATAATTCACATACCATACAATTACCAGTTCAAAGTGTATTATCCAATGGATTGTTAGTGGAAGTGCAAGTAGCTGTGCTTAAGAGTTTGAGGAACAAACTCATCATTTTACTTTCTACCAACAATGTAGGAGCGTTCCATTTTCTCCATATTTTTGCTAATTCATATTAGTTGTCTCTTTAGTAGAAGCTGTCCTTGTAGATGTGAAGTAATATCTCAATATTTTAAGTAATATATCTTGTTATTTTTTGATGTAACTGCTTATCAATAGATGACTATTCCATAGTTTTAAAAAATCTAACTTTAGAACTAAATATTGCTTATTGATTTGTTAATTACTATAATTTCCTACAGCTCTTATACTATTAAGCATTTTATTGATCAATTTAACTATTTATCTAATATCTTTTTCATCAGATATAATTGTGAAAGTGTTTCATGTTTAATTAAAAAGAATGAAATGAGGTAACATAGTATCATAATACTTGAAGGATTTGGTCAATACAAGGCCTGTGTAGGAAGTTTTTTTTCTTGTTTTATGCTTTATTGTTAGGATTACCTTGCCCCTCTTTCCTTTTTTTCCCCCTTAGCTTTTGGCTTTAACCATTCAACATGAGAAACCTGACTTAGAGGAACAAAAAACAAAACTATTACAACAGGAAGAAGATAAGAAAATACAGCTAGCCAAGCTTGAGGAATCTCTTTTAGAGGTAAAATTGAGCTATTTAGTATATTTTTTGTATTGCTTTTTCTCTTTAATAAATAAAAATAACAGTGCCTTTTTAAAAAAATGAGTAGCACTTTCAGAATGTTTTTGTTTTCAAAGGTCTACAAATATCTAATGCCAAAATTCAAACAGAAAACAAGGAGATAGATTTTGGAATATAAGATCTTGAGGAATTACATTTGAGACAAGCAAATTCAACTAATAATTTTTTATACTGCCTTGTTGCATTATTTATCATATGTTCAGAATTTAAAAATTATTAAAAGTTGGCATGAATTTATAATTTAATCTATAATTTTATATAGTTTTATTTTTATTAGATATAATAATGACATCATATAATAATATGCTATATTATTTGATATAGGATGACCCAGAGTATTTAAATTTTTTAAAAATAACAAGTTCCTATAAATATTATCAAATTAGTGACAGTTAATATGGGCTTCCTTTAATTGGTTATTTTAACATGTCTAACAATGTTTGTATTATTTTGTTAATTTTTTCTACAGACACTGGCCACATCCCAAGGCAATATTTTGGAAAATAAGGATTTGATTGTATCTTTGAATCAGACAAAAGCAAGTAGTGCACTTATTCAGGACTCACTTAAAGAATCTTACAAACTCCAGATTTCCCTTGATAAAGTAATTATTTCCTCTTGATTTTCTATCAGGTTTTCTTAAATAATTATGTTAATATGATAGAAAATTCAGATCAGGACTTGAGGGTAATGATTATGTCTAAGAAAGAACGCCATAGATAAACATCAGAGCCTTGGGTCTGATTCTTCTTATTATAGAGAGTCGGCTAAGATGTTGGGCTCATGGAGAAAAAAGACTGCTGGTCCACATACACTGGTGGGGTCTACTGATTTTTCACATGTTATCCAAGGTAGAGCTATAATGTTGTACTAAAATTGAAAATGAATACATTAAAAATGAACGTTAGGAGGCAACATCTTTGCCAATTGTGTAAGTGAGCTTTTTTTCTGTTACAAATGCCTGAGATAAATGAGCTTAAAAAGAGAAAAGGTTGATTTTGCTTACAGTTTTGGATGTTTCAGGCCATGGTCAGTTTGCTTATGGCTATGGGAAGCAGGAGAGGAAGGAAGAGTGGGAAGAAGGAACCAGGATACCATAATTCCCTTTGAAAACACTCCCTCAATTCTCTAAGAATTCCCACGAGGTCCCACATTTTAAAGGTTCCACTACTTCCCAATAGTATCATGGTCTGGGTGCCTAACCTTTAACAAATGAGCTTTAAAGGGACATTTCAGATCCCAACACTTTTAGGACTTTTCTTAAGATAAAGCCAGGTAAAGATACTAATGGAGTTATAAGCTATTATTTCCATTAAGAAACATTTTTTCCCTAGTTATTCTGTATGCCATCAATGTGATGATCTGAACCATTTTCTTACCAATGGCTTTAAATTATTTTTACTTTATTCTTTTGATGTTTCCTTTAACAAAGTTTCAGTCCTTTATCAGTACAATATCTTTTCCTTTCTTGCATTCTAGTGACTGATCTTTGTTGGAAATAAATGACCAGGGAAATAAATGTTTTTATGAATTTTCAGGCTCTAACCTGACATGAGCTCCAACTGATAGGTTTTAATTATCTTCCATTTGTCTTAATGACTTTTTCAGCTTTTCCTCAATATTTTTTATAAATTTTACACTTCTTTATTGCTGCTTTCTTCACTTGGGAAAGAGCTCTGTTGCAACCAGAAGTTGAGCAAATTTTATAGCCTGATTCCTATCTAGTCACCCTATTTTCCTTACCAAGTCTAAACTTTGCAGATTGTCAGTTGTGATTTCCAGTTTCTACCAAAAGGATTTTGAACTGTATATGCCTTTTCTTACTTAAAGAAAGTAAGAGGGCTGGGGATGTGGCTCAATCGGTAGTGCGTTCGCCTGGCATGCGCAGGGCGCTGGGTTCGATCCTCAGCACCACATAAAAATAAAATAAAGATGTTGTGTCCACCGAAAACTAAAAAATAAATATTAAAAAAGAAAGTAAGAAAGTAAAAAAATTATGTATCACATAATTTTACCAGTATCACATTTTTAATTCCAGTTAAAATTCCAGCTTTGATCATGACATGGAGGACCTCCTCAGAGTTCTAAGATCATTTAATCTTATGATCCTTCTATTTCTATAATTCTTTATTTTCTGTCAGAATGAAGGTTCTTATCATTATTTGCTCTTCCTCTGCTTACATTAAGCTGTGCTATTAGATGATGTGCAAACCTGTTACAGTCATCTTCTTTTCCTGATTTTTTTTCTTGACATGTCCCACATACTTGTCTCATAGTTTAAACTTTTCTCTGCTAACCTAGTAGTTCCATGCTCTCTTGCATACCTTACCTAAACAGATTTTTTTTAAAAAAATGTATAATTGCATTTTCTATTGTCTGATTCTGTTTACTATTCTATCTTGCCCTCTTTCCCCAAGTACGTTTGGTCCTCATTAAGACTAATATATGAACCATTTTTAGCTCTGTTATCTGAGGGGCAGAAAAGTATTTGAAATAATGTCTCTCCCAGTATTCATTTGTAAAAACGTAAATTCCTAATGTGATAGGATAAGGAGGTGGGACCATGATTATGTCATGAGTGTGGTCCCTCCTAGGTGAGATTAGTGCCCTCATAAAAGACAGCTGAAGGAACTTATTTGCCCCTTCTTGTTTGACATAGCAAGAATCAACTGTTTCTATGAACCAGGAAATGGGGTCTCACTAAACACCAAATCTCCCAGTGCCTTAAGAATCTCAAATTTTCTAGCCACCCAAACTGGGAGAAATTAATTTCTATTATTTAAAAGCAAAACTAGTTTAGTGTATTTTGTTATAGCAGCCTGAATGGACTAAGATGTATATTGTCCTCAACTTCATAAAAATAGGAATAATAATGATGTTTTTTGAGTTGCAAATTTATTTGATTTGTTATCTTATTTGTTGTATGTGTGTGGAAATTTAAGAGGGTGGCTAGACATGTGCATAGTGGTCTGTAGGTGGCAGTAAAGCACTATACTAAAGTGTTTCCCCTTCTCCAATGATCCACAGGAGCGGGATGCCTATCTTCCTCTGGCTGAGAGTGCCAGTAAGATGTACTTCATTATCTCTGACTTGTCTAAAATTAATAATATGTACCGTTTTAGTTTGGCTGCTTTTCTACGACTTTTTCAACGAGCTCTGCAAAACAAACAGGTAAGCTGTTGGTTGCCCTGTGGTTGAATTTGACCAGTCACTTTACTATGTACTTAATTTATAATAATAATTTTCTGATAAAACATGTAGAATTATGCTTCAGAAGACCACATCTATTACTTTCAACATATATTTAAAATAAACCAGTTTCTTAATTTCATTTTATTTTCTTAACGGTTCTAATGTAACAGTCTTTTGATGGAAACAATTTATGTTTTTAGAATAAATTAATAAGTAAAATATGATGATTAAAAATCTAATAATTAATAAAAACATAAAATAAGAAATTATCCATATAACCCCAGTACATAGTATATATCTTTGTTTGAGACCATAATATGAAAGTATTGTTCTTAATAATGTGTACACAGTAATGTACTGCTTTAGGAAGCTTATATTCTAGTGGAGGGAAAGATATATAAAGGATAATATTGTTTTAAAGTAGCACACTGTAATTAAAAAATGTATACTGTGGGCAACTTCCATGTCAATAAATAAATACATAACTACACAATATTTTTAAGTGATAGGTTATCTCTGCGGAGTATCATATTATTAAAAACATTTTCTTATGTTCATGTCAGAAATTTTGTCAGGATAGAACAGGGATGGCTTGTCTCTGTTTTACAATGTCTGGGGCCTCAGGCTGGAATGTCTTGAGGATGTGGTGGGGAGGGGTTTCACTTGCCCAGGTGGCTGGGATGGGAGGACTTGATAAGTAGGACTGCTTACTGCAGCACCTCTGTGCTAGGTTTGACTTCTTTACAGCACAGAGTAGATGGACTTGTTGTATTATACCTTGGGGCACCAAAGGCATATTCCAGTGAATGAAGTAGAAACCTTTTATAACCTAGCCTTAAGTTAGTGTTATTTCTGCTGTCATGTATTGGCTGAAACAGTCACAAGCCTGCCCATATTCAAGGAGAATAGGAAGTAGACTTCACCATTTGATGGAAAGAATATTGAGTAATTTTGGGGTTATGTTTTAAAATAGCTGTAGACATTAATAGGTTCTTACCCCCACCCACCAAGTGTTTTCTTAAATCCTAGACTTCATCTTGGCTGGGGTAAAAATGCACATTTGTAAGCTTTTGACAAATACTAATTATCCTTCAGAAATATATGATTATTGGTGTATTAAACTGATTCAGTGATGACTTTTTCTTAACATGTTAACAACATCTTAACAACAGGTATTTTATATCTTTAAATAATTGTTCGATTAAACAATTGAAAATTATTTCATTGTTTTTGTAAATCTTTGATCATTTGTAAGGCAAATATAACTTATAAAACAAATATAATATTTGATATTTGCATTTTTCTTCAGTGAATGATGTTTTTATATCATTTGTGTATATTCTTTATGTTAATTATATAGTAGAGTTTTAAGAGATTCTTATATATTAAGGGTCTAAAGTCTTTTTCATGTGCTACATGTGCCTTTTTTTATTTCTAAAATATTTCTGCAAAGCCAGTTACATCAAAATTATCTTCTTGGTTTTTATACTTGGAATGAGTATGATATTAATGTTTTAAAAATATTTTAAAAATAAAAATGTTTATAAAATAAAAATGTTTTACAGAAGAAAATAAACTTTTCTTTTGATTAAATTAGGAAGCACTGTTCATATGCTTTTGAAATAATATTTTTGGACGAGAATAAATTTTTCTTTTGCTTAAATAATGGAGCACAATTTCATGGTCAAGTAAATTTACTTAAATCTCTTTTTCAGGGGAAAGATTATTCATTTAATAAACATTATTGCAGACTTACTTATAACTTATAAATATATAGCAGACATTCCAGGCATTGTGCTAGGTTCTGGGAGTGTTTCGCAGAGACCAATAGGAAAAGCTACTCCTTATCTTCGTTGGTGTGGACCATTTGATATTTTTTCCATCAGTGAATTGTTTTATATATCCTTTTTTATTTGTTTATTAATCATGATTCTGTTATTAATTTTTTCCCACTAATGTATGTCATTCAAATTTGCTCTCACATTCAAATTTGAAATAAATTTCCATTTAATACTGACCTTGTGCTTTGGTATAGATTTTGTTAGCAAAAATTTCTCTACACAGTCATAGTTCATGTCTCTAGTATATATTTTTCATTTCCTTTGGACAAACACTAGATTTTGGTCTTTAGGTTTAAAAAAATAGTTTAAAACATTACATTTAATCAAACTATTTATAATATTTTACTTTTGGAAACATTTTTACAAAATATATAGAATCCAATAAGGTCTATAAGAATTAATTCATAACATATGATTGATTTTATTCTGATTCACTGTGTCAGCAGATAAAAATAAGGATAATTATGCTTGTCTTTTACTGGGGACTGAATTAGAGCAAATTATATTCCATGTTTTTATGATTTGTCAAAATGTATCCTAATGTTACATATAACTAAAAAAGTAAAAAAATAATTCTAAAAAACTTTAAAATTATATGATAAATTTATTTATAATTCCTCTTTATTCTTTGGTCACAAAATATATATGTTAAAAAATCAGTAACTATATACTGTGGTATGAGAACTGATAAATAGTGTAGAAGTTCAATCAAACTTAGTAAGTGTATTAGTGTTCTTTATGTTTTAGAAAAGCTAATCCACTTTCCTCAGTTATAATAGTACTGTAATAATATGTACATTGATCAAATTTCACCCTTGTGTGTGCATATATGTGGGTGTATATGTGTACATTTCAATTTATTTTTAAAAAGTAACATAATTTTAAATATGTAGAGTAAAAACCATGCTTTTCAGTGTTTTGTAAATCTAGATCTTATAGGTACTGTATTCTGTTTTATTTTTTCTTACACTTTTTTTTCATTTTTAATTGCTTCATTATAGTTATGCATAATGGTGGGATTTTTACATATTCATTGTTATATGAATACAACATAACACTATAATTTGACCACTATAATTTCCTAACTCTGTTTTATAATAGAGTGTATTTTAGTGAATCTAAGTCTCAATTTCATAATTGATCTTTCTTAATAAGAGGAGCATTTGCTATATAAACTAGGAACAGACAATTCTTCTGGTTAGAACATGCTACCAACACCACCAGAAGTGTACACTTGAAGTATCTGGGTACAACTAATCTTTATTGGTGTGGACCATTTGATATTTTTTCCATCTCTAAATGATTAAAATTATTTTAGTAGGTTTATTTTGGTTGTTGTTGTTGCTGTTAGTTATAATCACAAGGAACCAAACAAATTTAATTATTATATCAGAATTGAACTTTATAAGACATATTCTTCAAATGCCTCCTGAAGTGAGAAGTAAAATTTACATTATAATGAGAGAAAATTTCAGCTTATACAACCCTCATTTCTATGCCAAGCAATATTTTTTTTATTAAAAGAAATAGCCATTAGTGATATCCTTTCAAATGGTGGCAGTCATGTACATTGGAAATACCAAATGAGATAAAAAACTAAAGGTGTATGTGAGTTTTTGCTGTATCGGTCTCAAAATTATTGTTATCCTTATTCAACCTGTAGTGCATAGTTCAGTATTGTTTAGGTTCTCATATTGAGGATGAGAAATATAAGATGATTTTGGTCATCTTATTTTGGGACTGAATGGATAATTATATAATACAAGTAATTTAAATGGCCTTAACCCAAATTGAAATAGTGTTTTTAAATTACTTATTTTTAAATGTTTGTATTAGTATATTATAGTTATATATAATATTGAATTCATTTTGATGTAATCTTACATGAATGGAATATGAATAGCTCCACTTCAGTCCCCATTACTTTGTGTTTTCCTCCCCTCCTTCCTTATCCTACTCCCCTACCTGTACTGTACTAGTCTTCCTTCTATTTATTTACAGTTTTTTGAATTGGTGCACTATATATATATGTATATATGGTGAAATTTACTGTGGTACATTCATATATATTCATTGCATATTTTTGTTCATTTCGTTCTACAGTTTTTTTTCCCCTTTTTTTCTGCTTCCTCCCCTTCTATTCCTTTCCTCTACTCTACTGATTGCCCTTCCATTTTCATGGGTTTCCCCCACTTTTTTCCTCTTATTTTGCTCTAGTTTCTGCATATAAGAGAAAATAATTGATACTTGACTTTCTTGATCTGGCTTATTTAATTTAGCTAGATGTTCTCTAGTTCTATCCATTTATCAGCAAATACCATAATTTCATTCTTTTTTTTATGACTGAATAAAACTCTATTGTGTAGATATACCAAATTTTCTTTATCCATTTGTCTGTTGTTAGGCACTTGGACTTGTTCCATAATTTGGCTATTGTGAATTGCACTGCTATAAATATTGATGGGCCTGTATCATTCTAGTATGCTGACTTTAGCTTTTTAGGATAATGGTGGTTCTATATTTAGTCTTTTGAGTAATTACCATACTGCTTTCCAAAGTGGTAATGCTAATTTGCAGTCCTACCAAAAATGTATAAATTTATACAAAAATGTAACTTTTATCCTACATTCTTGCCAGCATTTATTATTGTTTGTATTCTTGATGATTGCTATTCTGAGTGAGATGAAATCTCAAAGTAGTTTTGATTTGCATTTTCCTGATTTCTAGGGATGTTGAACATTTTTTTAAATATATTTGTTGGCCATATGTATTTCTTCTTTTGAGAAGTGTCTCTTCAGATCTGTTTTCCATCTATTGGTTGCAATATTTAAGGGGAGAGTTTTTTGTTTTAATTCTTTATATATTCTGGGTATTAATCCCCTCTCAGAGGAGCAGTTGGCAAAGATCTCCTTCCATTCTGTAGTGTCTCTTATCACACTCTTGTTTCCTTTGCTGTGCAGAAACTTTTAAATTTGATGCCATACCACTTATTGATTCTTGTTTTTATTTCTAGAACTTTAGGGGTTTCATAAGGAAATCAGTGCCTGTGTCAATATGTTGGAATGTTGAGCTTATGTTTTCTTCTTATAGTTGCAAAGTTTCTGGTCTGATTTCTAGGTCTTTGAGCCACTTTGAGTTGACTTTTGTACACGTTGAAAGATAGAGATCTAGTTTCATTCTTGTACATGTAGATATCCTATTTTCTCAGGACTATTTGGTAAAAAGGTTGTCTTTTCGGCAACATATGTTTTTGGCACCTTTGTCAAGTATCAGATGACTGTGTCTATTAGAATTTGTTTTGTGTCTTCTATTTTCTTTCATTGGTTTTCACGTCTGTTTTGATAACAATAGCATGTTGTTTTTGTTATTATAGCTCTGTAGTATAATTTGAGATCAGTTATTGTGGTGCCTCCAACATTGTTTTTGTTGCTCAGGATTGCTTTGACTATTATGGGTCTTTTATTGTTCCAAATAAATTTTAGGACTTTTTTTTTTATAGTTCTGTGGAGAATGTCATTGATATTTTGATGGGGATTATAATGAATTTGAATAGCACTTTTGGTGGTGTGACTATTTTAGCAATATTAATTCTACCTTAGATAGTGTTTTTGATGCTATGAGAATCAAAATGTTATGGGTGAAATTCAATTAATTTTGTTTTTGGGGGAATTGGAGTACATAAGAGTTCAATATCATTTATTAAAAGTTTTATGCATTTTAGAAAAACACATAAAATTTTATATTAGTGTATAAATTTAATTCATTTATTTGTTTAGTCCTTTGGGGTTGATGGGCAAAGGTGCTATTTCAGAATCAGTTTTGTGTCTGGAGAAATAATTTATAAGAATGATTAAACTCTGCAGTACCTTTTAAATGTAATAACTTTCCTAATGCTCTTTCAATTATTAAATTGTAATCTACAGGTGTTTGAAAATACAGAACAGAGAATCCAGTCTCTTATAAACTCATTAAAACATATGGTATATGAGTATATATGTCGTTGCCTATTTAAGGTAAGAAGCATTATATTTTTTCACATATAATATACTATATGAAGCCAGTGTGGTGGCATTGTTCCAGCTACTTGGGAGGCTAAGTGAAGAGGATCACTTGTACATAGGAGTTCATGATCTGCCTAGGCAACACAGTGTGACCCCAATTTTAAAGTATATGTGTATATTTGTGTGTGTGTGTGTGTATACACACACACAAATTACTTCATTCTTGATTTTTTTATAGAGTTTACAGTTATATAACCATTTAACCACTAGAATTGGCCTTTTTGCCATTTTCTCATTATATTCATTGCTTATTGGAATATCTTACAACATTCCAGGATTTTGTGAGGTGAAAAGGGAAGTGTGGAAGAGAGAGTAAACACTTGGGTTAGCTGCCTTGGCTCTGAACATTTCAGTAAAAACAGATTGCATATTATCTAAAGGGTTTCTTATCCTCAACCTCTGATATTTTGGGCACATAATTATTTGTTATGTGAGGAGTGTCATGTGCATTTTAGAACATTTAGCAGTATTCCCGATCTCTGTGAATGAATGCCAGTAGGACTTGCTCCCCTTGACTCCCCATTTGTAAGAGTCAAAACATGTCTCTAGACATTGCCCAATGTCCCTAGGGTCTTGGGAATAAAATTGTTTCTCATTGCTAACGTTATTAGGTAAACTAATACCTGCTTCTGAGTTAGGAGGAGTTGGAGTAAGTTGTTGTGGAAGCCTTCATATTATGAAGGTTCCAGAGAAACATGCAATAAATAAAATTATAGAAAAAAAAAAAAAAGAAACTTTTGACCTTTAGAGAAAACATGGAGACTTTTCATTTAGGATTAAAAAAAAAAAAGTCTTTGAGTGTAGCTTAAGATATAATATTAAAGAAGATAAAGGCAGTTAACTGAGTTTGAGAAATAGTTATCATGGTTCATTTATAAAAAGACTTAGCAAATCTTGAAAATTATCAATATTTTTTTTAGAAAGGGACATTAATTTTTATTTTTTAAGAACTTTATTTGAGACAATAATTTTTTAAATATCTTTCAGTATTTTGACAAAGATTATTATTGGGAGTTCAAGAAATTATGCTTGAGCATTTCTGCAGAATTCCTTCTTTAATGGGAACTTGGATTTGTATTTTTCTTTTAATGGTCTTATAATTAGTTCACTATGATTCTAAAATTCACCCTTTGGGTCTCAATTTTTAACTTGTATAAAATGTTGAATTATAAGCAAGTAATGTCAATCTAGTTTATCAGTAAAATGGATGATCTTAGAGGATAACCTTTATAGTGATAGTTTCATTAGTTATAATTCTCATGATGTCTGTAACATTTGTATAACATATTATCATGTAATAATTAATTATTTTTTATCACACAAACTTAAAAATATTTTCAAAAGGAGCTTTAAACTTTATGGAACTGTAATAGAAAAAAAAACCCTAAAGATTAATTTATTTGTTATAGTCCATTTCCTTTCTCTTTTGTATTCATATTTATAAAAATGTAGTTTTAAAAAACTGATTATATACTTTGTTCTATAGCTTCTCCTTCGTTACAATAGGTCCTAAAGATTTTACCATAAATATAAATATGTTAACCTCATTATTTTTAGTGATTGTATGCCATTCAAAAATGTGGCTATACAGGTTGAATACTCTTTATTCACAATGCTTAGGATCAGTGTTTCACATTTTGGAAACAGTGAGAAGTTTTTTTTTTTTTTTTACCAGTTAACTCCCACCCATTGAGTGATTAAAGATACCTCTTTCCTTGTATAATTATTAATCTTGGATGTTATCAGTCTTTTTAATTTTTACCATGTTCTGGTTTATAAATGTTGTCTTATTTTTTTTTTTATTGTCTTTCTTTTATATTTTTTTTTTTTTTTTTTAACTCTCCTCCCTTATCCTTCTGTATTTCTCTATTTTTCTTAATATTTTAAAGAAAAAGCTTTTGCTTTATATAGAGCAAGTCCACTTTGTGGTAATTATGGTCTTTAAGTTTTATTTTTTAATCATTGAACTTACTTATTTTTATTTCTATTTATTTATATGAGAAAATTTTTAATGATATGTTAATCATTTTTATTTTCTAGTTAATATATTAAATTACAGTTTCATTTTGGTCATTCTCAGTAGTAATGTATTTAATGCTTTCCTATTTTCCTTCCTAAGACCTCTACATTAAAATAGACTGTGATTTATAAAAATGTCAAGGAGCTATAGTTATATTAATCTGTTCCAAATTCTTTTGGAAAGTGGATATGTTATAAATAAATCTTATTCTTAAATAGTGCTTTAGGTTTAATGATATCATCCTTCATATTTTTTTCCAAATATTAGTAGCTTTTTTTGTTAGTTTCTTATTTCTAAGCTATATATCTGTATTTCAGTTTATATAGTTTCATTTTATTTTTAGCAATACATTATCTTTGCTAATAAGGTTTAAGTCCTATGTTATATTTTGCAAAGTAATTAGGGAAGGATAAGTATTTAGTATGAACATGTTTTGACATGTCAGTGGAATATAGTTAGGGTTACTTCTTTGAAATCACTTTGCTTTTTAAAAAATACATTTAAGTTAGACTAAGGCAATGTTTTGTTATACTGGGAGAGAGGTTGAGAAGCTTTACTTCCTTAATATTTTAGTGCTCAATTGGAGTTTTTCATTGCCTATATTGAGTTTCTATTGTGAACAGTTAAAATCATAAAAAGACAACTATGCAAACTGTGGTTTGCAGTTCTTAGGTCATGTTTGTAATTGATGATGTAATATTTGTTGTGTAAAATTCATTTCTGTTTGAGTAACGTTCAACCTATACAGCATGAATTAAATATTCCATAAAGTTTCAAAAGGAATAAAAATTCAGAAAGCATATTAATCCAAAAGCAATGAGGTATTTCTCAAGTTTTGGAATTATAACTACTGAGAATGGAACCATTTTCAAATTTTTGTGAAAGCTTTTGGGATTTAGCAATCAGTGTAATATTAAACTGCCTGCCAGAATTTCTCTTGTGCTGATTTAGCTGTTGTGTTGGTGACAGCAATATGGCAACAATAGATTTTTGAAATAGAGACAGACTAGGATTATTAGCATTCTCATCACAGTGAGCTGAAAGAAAGTTGACCTGGAATAGAAGAATGATTGACTTGTTTTATGGCAGAAAATTTAGACTACCCAAGTAGAGAAAACTATCTAGTAATTTCAGCTTAGATTAACCATGTCATTATTTTTTTCTTCAAAATCAAAAGTTTTTATTTCAGCTGATTAAGTATTTTAGAAAATTGAAATATTTGGTCATTGAAATATTTGGTTCCCTGAAACTTATGATTATTATAAAACTATGTACAAGTTAATCTTTTGCATGTCATTTCTTCCATTTCAGTTTGACCCAGAGTAATGGAAGCTATTGTGAAGTGTTGGTTTCAAGCTAGTGAATCAACAGAAGAGGGTTGGAAGGGAGGATTGGGAGGATATAGTTTTACTGTTTCTTCCTCTTTATGGAAGTATTAAAGAGATTTGAAAAGATATAAAAAGAATGTCTCATGGGTTATGAAGAGAATTTTTTTTCATGCAAACTCCTTGACTATTTTCTGTATAGCTCACTTTACCTTTCTTTTCAAACGAATTTGCTTATTGACTGAGTAAAATTCAAGTGGACACTATTTTAAAATAAAATATGAATAACAGCTCATTGTTTTAATTTTACAATTTATTTAATTTTTATATTTTTTCCTATCAAAATGTGTTTTGTTATGTTAAAAATTGGAAATTTTCTCCCTGGATGTTTAGACATGAAATAACCGGTGGTGATTACAATAGTTCTTGATAATTGAGATAATATTTTTATACTTCAATAGCTTTTAAACTTTCAATATCAAATCTAACCATTTGAGTTTTTTGAACATATATTTAATGTGCATAGAATTGCCCATTGAAATGTATGATTTAGCTGTAAACCCAAGTGCAAGTGCTCAAGTTCTGTGCTATATCATCTCCTTTCATTAAAGTGAGACTTTTCTTTCTAAAGTAATATATACTTTTCATTAAATGTTTGATGAAATTTATGCAATAGAAATAAAATAAATGAATTGCTTATATTTTCAACCGTTTCTTAGTCTCTAAGAATCATGGAATTTATGAAATATTTTTAGAGTAATTTTTTTCTAGCATCATATATAGCATATCAGTTCACTACATATGAGGTAGTTATTATTCATCACTTTTTGATAAATGCCTTAAATATTTTGCCATTTATGGCTTACAATAGTCCTGTTATACAAAGGAGGACACTACTAGATTTAGAACTAATAACCTTTTGCTGCTCAGATCTAGAAAATGTTGGAGTTGGAATTCAAATTCATTCTATATTATGTTTAAGATATCTTGGTAACAGGATGCAGATGAAACAAACCACTATATCTAGAAATGTGATCTTGATCTCAGGTATAAAGTGGACTTTGAAGATTTCTTCACATCATATTAATTGTGATCTAATACTTTACTTTATGTGTGATATAATGGTTTGGGAGAAATGATTTATACCACTCAGTGGCCTTTTTTTCTTCATTCAGCCAGTTATTCAAGTAGATGACCAGTTGAGATGTTACTTTTATCTATTCCCTTTTCTATTAAAGTGTTTTCTAATAGAACCATTATTTCAATGGAACGAATAATGAGAGATTTTGGGATCCAGGATGGCCAGCGTCTCATTGGGGGGTTCTTCTGCCCAGAGGAGACCAAGCCACCCTAAATCTTAATATCTCAAATAATTAACAAATAATAAAACACAAACACTGAGAAATATATTTATAAACATTGAAGCCCCTGATAGATCTAGTCCACATGGGTTCTTGAACTAGACAACGAGAAAATGGCTCTGGTGGTTTATTTAAGAAGATACATCAAAGGCAGGAATAAAGTTTCAAGGGCCTAGTCTTGCTTCATGATGTCTTGTAGTCAGCAAGTTGGTTGACATCTCAGCAAGTCCCACCCATCTCAGGTGC